CCTGAAAATACGCGTTTTAGATTATTTTCCGTCGAAAATGATACAACTGTACGACACAATGTGATGTCTCGTTGGAAACGTTTGTGGTTTTTATTGTGTTATTCTTGTTTTTAAAATTATTTAGTCGTTATTTACRATTTACTGTTAATGATCTGATGATTTTTAAAATTAAAGAAGATGATAGTAAAGAGAGGATAAACAGTTTTTGTTGAAGGTTCTTTAGTGCTAGGTTTTGGCATCCCATCACATCTCCCCGTTATCATTATCATCGCCACCATCATCACTACCATTATTAGTATTATCATTAACATTATATTTATCTTCGTCACCATTATTATTATTATTATTATCATTATTATTATTATTATCATTGACTTCGCCCTTACTAAAATCAAGAACTTCATATTAGCACGGCATCAGCATTATCATCTTCACCATCCTTGTCCTCTTTCTCCTCAAAATTATTATCATTATTGTTATTACCATCATCATCATCACAATTACTAAAATCAACGACTTCATATTACCACAGTATCATCATCATCACCATCATCCTCCTCATTATTATTATCATTATCATCAYCATGCATCATCCCCATTATCATAAGCGTTAAATTATCAAGACACTTTAATATATAAAAAAATGTATGCAACTGCTTAATATTAATCGCCGTACGTATTTTGTGTTCTCCGTACTAACTCATGCATATTTTTGTACTTTTGGGCTTAAGCAGTGGACTACGACTCCACTGTATCAAAAAGAGGTTTATTGTTTAGTAGACTGAGAACCTCCAAACGACATTGTCTAGGAATYTTTTTCATCCACCTGATTTGAATCTGCCACCATACTTGTTGACAAGTTTTGTAATGTCGATGCAATGGGATGCTGCTGTAGTTTCTCTGAGTCAGAAATAATTTCATCATCTCGTAGAGTACGGTTGCTGATTGCACTTCCTGTGGGATTTCTTTCGACCACTTTATTTGAATCAGCCGAGGCTTCGTACTTCGATGGCAAGGTCGTATCCTCCCGCTCTAGCCTTCCAGAAAGCGTTGACTCCTTTTGTGATCGAGAAGCCTCGCATGGAGTTTCTTCCGAATCTTTTTCCACCTCTTTTTCCGAATCATCAGGCAAGTCTATGTCATTTGATGGTAGGGTCACGTCCTTCTGCTCTAACGTTTCAGAAAGCGTTGACTTCTCTTGTGTTCGAGAAGCCTCGCATGGCGTTTCTTCCGAATGTTTTTTGACCTCTTTTTTCGAATCATCATGCAGGTCTTTGTCATTTGATGGTAAGGTCATGTCCTTCTGCTCCAGTCTTTCAGAAAGCGTTAGATTCTCTGGCAAATTTTCAGAATCGTTTGCTGACTGGGTTTTCGATTCCTTTTCTTTGCTTTCTGACTCACGTTCCACCGACAAAGCCCGCTCAACCCTCTTATGCAGCTCTTCCATAGCCAAACGAACTTCTTCCGAGCAAGCACTGGGTTCAGCTGGTTCCCCATGTGGTTCAGCGACATTCTCAAGTGACGATGCAATCCCAGAATCTGCATTGCTTTCGTCTAATAAGGAAGAAAGTTCTTCGGTGTCGTTGGGTCCAACATCAAGAGGACAGACTCCTCCCATCGAAACAGCGTCGAGTATTTCTTCCATTATTTCGGGGTTAGAATAGTCACCGTGTCTGTTAATCTGAAATAAAAAAAGTAAAAAAGTAAAGCAAATATTTTACTTCCATGAAGAGGGGAGTGGTTGCCCAATAATTATCCCGAGCCAGCGGCTCATACATAAAGTGTTCGAAGGCGCGCACTTTACCCCCTCAGACCTTCAGTGCTCCTTATTACGAGCATTTAAACCTAAAGCTGCAGAGTAACCAGGTTGAAAAGACCGAACAAACTCTAGTAATAATTTTATTAACAGTGGATTCCAAAAAGTGGCTCTTCTTCCAYTGGATTCCAATTGGAATTTAGAAGTAGATTTTTACGTAGGGAAGAAAACGACGGAGAACCCGGAAAACCCTCAAAGCACARGAGAGAACCAACAAACAACTCTACTACACTCGGTACAACACAGAGCACGACGGGACTCAAACAAGGCTCGCGTTGTMACCGCTACGCCACTTGTACTTCCCTAGTCAAATGCGATGCCGAGTCCAAGAATGAAATCTGGGACCCCAGGGGCCGGCGAGAAGAGTGTGCACTACTGCTACTCTACCCTCGCATGATTCCCTTAGTAGCATTGGAGCCAATAACTTACCAAGTTGGTTACATTAACGTTAAACATTCTTCTGTTTTTCCACATCACAGGCCTCAGACCAGCTACTTTAACTTGTACAGATGCTGTACGGTAAACAAACCTTAACAGCCAATCCTTCCTATAGGTATCAAATAAAGAAAATCATCATCGGTTTGTCATAATCACCAACATTACAACAACATTATTACTATTATGACTATCATCGTCAACACCATCATCATCATCACCATCATCATCACCATTATCATCCCCATCATCATCAT